GCACAGAATAAGGAGTTACCTTGTAGTTGTTGCACAGTTGTTGACGTTGGGACGTGATGCGAGTTAGCCCCAGTCACTTGTTTTCCTTCAAAAACAGCGGCAGTTGAGATGGAGTTGACTGGTTGACCTAAGCAAGAAATCACGTCTAACGTTTTGTCACATGCATAGGGGAGTCTGTGATTACCATCTGACACTAGCAATCTGAAATCTTTATAGGCTTGGGTCGATAAACACAAAAAGCGCCCATGCTGCAAAGTAGCAACACATGGCAACCAGATTAATGTGCTCTGTTCAGTTTTTTCATAATTGGCAATTTCACGCACAACTGAAATTTTGAGACACCAATAAGCCAGTGAGCAATTTTTGTGCAAACCAGTTAGACTAATAAATCATTTAGTCACGTTTCTCTATCAGTAAACGTAAATGGAAATCGAAAAAAACGTAGAACTGTATATGGGTGCGTGTGTGAAGGAATCACTTGTAATGACAGAGATTATCCACAACCTCAAAAAAGACCACATGGCTAGTGTGTCGACCATCTTTTTAGCTCACTAAGATTTACATGGCCAATTGCAATATTCTGCATGTTGAGTTGTTTGTGCAGGTGCAGGACGACATGAGCATAACCCGATTTCCTGCATATCAGGAATGTCTCTTTCTTGTCCTTGTGTTGATTCTTGTGTGTGGTCCTTAAGACGGAGTTGTTTCTCTAGCAATTCCGATGTTTCCATCACCTCCGAGCCTTGATTCTCTTCACCTGTCGTCACCTCTTCATAATTCGACACATCTAAGGAAGAAGTGCAATGCATCTCACATTCTCCTGAATTCCACATTTTAACAACACAATAGCAGATAAAACTACAATCAGCTGTTGGTTTGCAAGCCAGAACAGTGTAATTGGGATATCAGAATGTACACTAAGCAAGAAACTGAATGTTTAATTGAAAAGTCATGTGTTACAACCACAACGCTCAACAAATTAACAACCTTGTTTAGAAGCAAGCAGGTACAATTCAGCAGCAGTTGCGATGAGATGATCATCAGCTCTAAGTTTTTGGTTTGTGAAGTTGTGTCACAGGATCAACTGACTTAGAAACCACCCACAGAATTCTGCCAACATTCGATTTGTCTCTAGTCTTACGCTAATTAATGTAAACAATGAGCACTTGATGTTACACCACGGCTATAAATGACCATCAGAACGAAATCGTCTTGTAAATGTCACGTTTTTGAATATGCCTCCACTGCTAAACACCACAGCCTTAAATGAGATAACATCCTGCATTTGGACTGAGAGTTACCTAGCCGTTCACTGCAAACATCTGAATTTGTAAGTGAACGGCAATAATAAGTTTGACCAAAACCCTGCAAATCTGTAAATGGTGATTCGTAGTGTATGTTGTTCTATGAGCACATAAAAAGATTCCTGGGTAAATTTCTAGTTGCTGTGGAAGCATGTTCATCTTGTAAGGTATTTCTTTGTCACAAAATAATTAGGCCAGGAAGAAAACACGGATGTCAAAGGCTAAGGACAATGGGCTTGGGCTTAACCTCTGCTGATGGTGTATGAGACAAAATTGGAAAAAAAACACTTCATAAGCACTCTGTTATCCGTTTTCATCGTGAGGTCTATGAGCAAACACAACGGCTTTTGAGAAGTTTCCTGAGTACATTTCCACTTCCAGTAACAGCTTGTTCACATTTAAAGGTGCTTCTCTATCAAAAAACAATTTGATGAGAAAGAAAACACAGATATCGGAATGGATTTAGGCGTATAAATCAGATTTCCGTCTTCAATTATAAGGAATAACTGAAATCTTGGTAAAGCCAGACGCGATGGCTCTTACAAAATTAGAATCAGGGTATTTGGAAATACAGACAAACATTTACCTGGGCCCATAGCGAAATTATGCGATGTAGCAGGAGCAGGCTGACAAGAACTACCATTGTGTCCATGCATTCCAGTGAATTGTGGCACCTGATACATGGGCGGTGGCATAGTGCTGTCCTCTGGTCGCAGTTGCCTCTGGTTCCACACTGCTGGATACGATCCATTTAGAAGGGAAAGGACCTCCGCTGACAGTGTTTCAGACGAAGTGAAAAAAAAAACATTAATACGCATGCCTGCGAAGCAATATGATGGCTTCTCTAAACGTGGAAACTATAGCATCATCCACAAACTGTTTTTTTTCAAAACTCAGTAGTTGAAATTCAAAGTGTGATAAGACAATGGGATTTAGCTGAGGAAGCCTTTGGCAAAATTGATGAATTTGTTTGAAGTGGTCATGCTTTTGTCATACAAATTGTAATCAAATTCATATTTTCAAGAAACGCCACTCTTTAGGAAGCCAATAACAGGAAACACCTATTTTCTGTAGATTACACAAAGGCTACAAGTGTATCAAATGCTATAATTCTGCTACATGTAAGTAACTGGGCTCTAGATGTGCTTGCTAAATCAGGAATGATCTTCGTCGCATTCATCAATGGAATTCTGCTTAGAGTTTAACACTGCTTTTGAGCCAACACACGAGAACCGTTTAATCTATTAACTCCACGGATTTACCTGGATGTAAAGGGGAATTGCAAAGAGCTGCAAGAGTAGCAGTACAGGCAGCGAGCTTTGATTGAAATTGCTGCCATAACTGATTGATGTTCCACAGCTGAAGTTCTACAATCTTATCAAGAGGCGTCATTTCATAATTAAAGGACGCGCACGTCGTCAAAATTGGAATCTGGTTCAACGCGCCCCAATTTAAATCATCTAGAAAGGAAAGGGGTTTATGTTAACTTTCAACCGACATTGTTTGAAACACGAATTACACAAAATGTGCCAAAGACACCAAGATTTTGCATGGTTAATTAGCAGTTTACGAAAAACATCGGTGATGCACTTACATCATCCAACGTTGATGCATTAGAACTATGTCGATCACGGATTTGTTGCAGAAAATTGCAAAAAAACGTGAAAAGGGGGTGCTAGAAATAGTTGTACTTCAGGTGTCGGTTAAGGCGTAGTTTGGTTAGTAAGGCAGAACCTCACGATTAATGCACCGAGCGTGACGTTTTAGTGCACACGGAGTATCAAAAACGACCGTATCACAGAGTAAACTGACCACTAATTTGAGGTCCGTTATGCATATTTATTGTAAGCAGTACGAGCAGTAGCAACGGAATTTTGCAGTTTCCAGTGTGCATTTTCACTCGCTCTGAAAGCATGCTCACATTTCAAGGTATTTATACATCACAAAACAATATGGCAAGAAAACACAGATTGGTAAGTGGATTTGCGCGTGTGAGCCGCATTACCTCTTTCAGTTATAAGAACAACTAGAACCTTGGTGAAACCAGACGCGATGTGCCTTACAAAGGAAAGATAAAACAAAATTTACCTGTGCCCAAAGCAAAGTTGCACGATGTAGCAGGAGCAGGCTGATAATAACTACCACTGAATCCCTGCATTCCATTGACTTGTGGTACCTGATACATGGGAAGTGGCATAGTGTTGTCATCTGGTTGCAGTTGCTGTTTCCCCATATCCACATTGCATTTTTCAATGTTCCCATTCGGTGTTGCCTTAGCATAAGCCAACGAACTTGTCGATGGAGTTGGCTTTTGATGTAACGCAGCTCCAGCCGACTCAGCTAGATTGGACATGGGATTGAGAATATACTTAGTTGATAGGGTTTCGGGCACAAACTTCGAACAATTCCCTCAACATTACGAGAGTAGTGGAAACTGCCTAGCGCTGTGCGGTAACTTTGGTAGTGCATACATGTCATCTCTCGTTGTCGCTTAAGACCTACATCAAATTGGTGTCAATAATTTAACAAGGAAATACGCCGAAGTCAATTCTTAACTGTTTCTTAATTTCACTAGCGCCTAATAAATTGCTGTGGCGTTGTATGCTGAGTAAATTTCCACTTGCTGAGTAAATATGTTCACGTTTAAAGGTATTTCTCCATCACAAAACAATTTGGCAAGAAAACACAGATGACCAAGTGGATTCGCGCATGTGAGCCAGATTCACTCATTCTTTTATAAAGATAATCAAGAACATTTGTGAGACCAGACGCGATATACTTAACTACAGTTCGATTAGGGCATTGAAAAGGACAAAGTAAAAATTACCTGGGCGCATGGCGGAATTATACGAGGTTGAAGGAGCAGTGTAAGAAGCATTGACATTGAGTCCTTGCATTTCGGTGAATTGTGGCGCCTGATATTTGGGTGGTGGTATAGTGCTGTAGTCTAATCTAAGTTGTGGTTTCTCCGTCTCCACTACAGATTCTTGAATCTTCCCCTGAGGCATCATCGTAACGGAGGCTAAACGATTTGTCGTCGAAGTTTGCTTCTGGTTCAACACAGCTGGATTCGACCCACTTAGAAGGGAAACTTGCTTGCGCATACTCTCAGCTGATGTTAATTGAGACAAAATGAACAAAAACGCAATTAGTGAGCATGCCTGCAAAGCGATTCGACTTTACCTCTCAAAACGCCCTACAAATGAGTGTTTTATAATATCATAAATTTTTCAAATCCACAACAGTTTTCCCTACTTAATATAGTCGTTTGGCTAATGAAACTATATGACTAGGGGGAATTTTTGAGTAGAATTTAAGACGAAATTGTTTAATGCGTTTGTTCGTGGTCGCCGTGGTATCATACCAGTTTTTTTTGAATGTCAGGTTGTACAAACAAAATTGCGGTTTGTGCTTTGTAGTTCCACGAAAAATCTGATGTCTTTATTGACCGATTCATTGTGACGGATTTATCTGCCTCTCAATAATGTGGAAAGACATCTTAGCTAACTTCATAGGTCAAATAAATTGGTTGCTCCTATGAACGTTGAACGATCCACAATACCATGCCTCAGGCCTATTTGATCAGTCATAGCAATCTACCCAATGCAGGACTGCAAATATATCTATCTTGCAGGAATAAACGTCGATGGCGTTGCAGTAATGACATTCGTATCGTCATAATCCTGCAACGCATACACGTGAATAGTAGAAATCAGCAAAGACAGTGACGCCAAGTCTGCGCTAGGTTGGATGCGACGGTGAATACAACATGAACGTTCACTCACCATTTGAGCCTTTAGGGCGTTTCTTGCTTTCCACTTTAGTACAGCTCTCCAAGCTGGGCAATATTTCCGAAGTTACTTGTTCCATCGAAAATGCTTCGTTCAAGACACGAATGTGTCCTCCGATGAAGTGTGCGCGTGTTTATATTGGTTTTCGTAGGCTCAACGACCGAGGCAGCTTGGACCGATGACACATCCTCCTCTCTTATTGGTTGCTCGTGGTAGCTGTGAGTCATGGTAACTTAATCTGGTGCGAGCAAGCGCTACGTGACCTGAGCAGATTTGACTGGCATAATACGATCAAAACTGCTTCAGCCTGTCTTGAGTCTGTTTTTTTGGATATTTTTGTTTTGCCATTTACCTTGAAGGCTAGTGAGAACGTTATGGCAAATATATGACAAAAATCGGTGTTATTAACTACCTTTGGTGTGACAATGATATTGGGTTTTTTTGCAAGCAACACCAGGGATCATGACAAGCTATGCGGACAAAGGTGCCATCTATGTGAATCTACGACTATGGCTTCAATTGAATCTTAGTTGAAGGGAGGAAATGACCGTCAGTTCCCACTACGCTAATTATAAATTCATGAACAGTTCCACAAATTACCTAGTGGGCCCTGACGCCTTGCAAACCAACTCATCAAGTTCGAAACGTTTCCATGATTTTCTGATGGCATTTCCGTGGAACAAGGTCTGCAACCGAATGCTTATGGTAAAATATAGTTAAGTAGATTTGAGAAGAAGAGGGCTCTTAAGCAATGAGTATAGGAATTACATGGGATACGCTGAGTAGTATTCTTTTCAAGTAGTGAAATGATTCATGAATTGACTTGCCGAACAACGATTTTAGACTGACTGACGTTGGGGCACTGCCAGTCTGGCATAATGACAAGGTTCGAATGCTAAAATCATGGATTCATTAGCCACTGGCAAGTCAAAGGAGAACTGGTTCACAAATCGCTTCAGGTTGTCTCTAGACAGCTATACGTGAACTTCATCGTGATATAAGGAACCGAGTTTGTTTGTGTTCACACTCCTAATAAGCTAAAGTGTGACTATCTGATACCTCATTAACTGATTCAGAATAAGGGTAACCGATATACTAGGGACACTCGATGCACACGTTAATAAGAGGATGTCATTACCAGCATTGTGTTGGTGAGCATAGAATCTGCGGTGGTAGCAAAACAAAAGGAGAAAAGTGCACAGGCAGGAACCATTGCAGTGATCCCTTAGAATCGTTTCGAATCTAGTCACCAAGTTCACATACCAAATGGTGGTTGCGAGAGTTTGCGCAGCTAGATTGTGGCTGTCGTTAAGCCTGTTGACTAATCTTAACGGTTATTTAACAATTGCTACTCAAGAAATACTTTTCCTGCAATCTTCTTGAAATTCCTAAATTGTGGAATCCTCAACAATCGAAATTTTGGAATGATGCGTGTCTAACCAATTGATAGCACCTAATACCGCCCATTGATGATGGCAATACAAGCTGTGCTGGCATTACTTTAACTTATTTCAAGGAAATCGATATATGGCTTGTGTCGGTGATAGAGATTGCTCTCAAGGTGTCGGTGGAATAACAAGTCCCTCGGAAATGCTCTGCGGAGCTAAATGGCGAATGTTGTGATGAAAATGGCTTACTTGATGCACTCAAAAGATCAGAAAGCCATAAACAATCATGAAGTGTGCTTCTACCAATCGTACTGATTTCGCACATGCTAGAACCGCACCCGATAATTCACACTTAACTTAGAGGACCCAAATATTGTCCAAGAGCTGTTTTAAGTGCTTATTGTTGAATAATTACAACTAAGTCGAGAACGAGGAGACAGTACAGTGTACGCTTACCCACTTAAGAATTGAGTACGTCATAAGAGTTTAAAATAACAACACAAACCCGTGTTTTATGAGGTGGTGTCACGTGAAACTGAACAGCGCCTGCTGTTGAATAAACATGGTTAGTGATTCTAACTTGCGATAAATAATTTTACGGCTGGCGAGGCACCTGGTTTGAACCAGTCAGAATCATATGGGTAGTCGGACGATTGACTTTCTGGTCTGATATTACAATGACTGGGTGGTTGTCTCTTGTGATTTTTTTTCGCAAGAAAAGAACTAGTCATCGCATACTTGCGTTTTGAGGATGACCTACAGTTTGATTTGCGATATCAAACCGTGGAGTACGAATTACGTTGGCATTAGCCCTAAGTGGTGGAAACGTCTGGCAACGACGCCAATCAATGTATCCGGTTGAAAGAGAGCTGAACCTGTACTGACGGCTTGTAATGAAAATATAGGCGCCCTCTG